TGGCTGGAATCAAAGACTAGTTTGTGGCCAGGGCTTGGGGTTAGTCTGCAGTCAGGAGCATGCATAGGCCCACACGGTCAGGAATCAATGGAGCTGAGCTCACTGGGGTCAGGCATCCAGCAGGAGCTGGGATCAGAGGTTGGTTCTCTCCCTGCCCTCATCTACCCGCTTTCCTCTTGGGTTTAAGGGGAAGAGAGAAGCAGAGTCTGGGCAAGGAGCTGTGAGGAACGGTATGGAAGAAAGTAAGGGGAAAGAGGAAAAGGCTATTGTAACTGGTGGGACAGGGGAGAGAGTGACAGACAGATACAGTCACACGTTGAGGGCACGATGCCATTGGGAGCATCTTTGTCTCGGATGTCTAATGTCCGTTCAGTCCTTTTGTTAGGGGGAAAAGGCTGTCCTAAAGCTAATTCCATACAGGCTTTGTGGACTCCACCCCCACTCCAGGCCAAAGCCAAAGACACTGGGAACTCCACATCCCATCCCCAGCAAAGGGAAGGTGGCTGGGACCTGAGGGTGGGGGTAAGCAGCCAGGTTGGTATAAAGCCAGACACGTGGGCTTTGGGGGGGGGGTACCCCATTTTGGCTCTCCGCCAGCTCGCAGCGTCCGGCCAGCTCTGAGAGTGCCTTTGGGTTTCCAGGTCGGCGGATCGGGTAGGACGCATTAAAGACTTTATTTCCCTATTTTCTCCCTGAGTTGTACATTTCCTTATTTCCCTTTCCCTTGTAAATAAACCTTTTATGAACCTTTTGTGTGTGCCTGTAGTAGAGTATTAAGTCCCTTGTAAGCACACGGGTGAGGACCCACAGCCAGGAACCCGTTCAATATCGGGGCTACCCTATAACACTTTCTGTGATCATGTAACACTGAAATCACAATGTCACGGTTTCCTCTGTGCTGTCGTCTACCCTCACCTCCACAACTCCCAGGGGCCCAATCTGTGTGGTAGCAACATTAGCAAACACCCGGATATTACCTATGTGCTAATCCTCGCTGCATTCACATACTTAGGTCTAAGAGCAGCTCCCCGCAGTAGGTACTATTGTTCCCATTTTACACATGAGCATGCAAGCACAGAGAGGTTGCATGACTGACCTCAGGCCACACAGCAGGTATGGGAGCATCCTGGGTTCCTAATGTATGTTGATGCTTCAGCCAGGTACTGGGGAGGATGTGGGTGAAATGCTGAGAAGAGTGGGGAGTAGGAGTGAGGGGTGGGAGTCTCCCAGTCCTACTTTTCTGTTGGTGGCACCTCCGGGGATCTAGACCTGGAGCCTGAGCCCCTGGTACTAGACAGGCGCAAGGGCCAGCATGGGCCACCAGGGGGCAGCAGGGGCCAAGGAGCTGGCTACCAGCCAAACTGATGTGGCCAGGTCGGTCCTCCTTGGCCAGGTGCTTCTTGCTTGGTAAAAAGTAAAATGGAAAAGGGTGGAGTTTTGAGAAAGAACTTGCAGTGTCTGCTGCTGGCAGTTATTTCAGACACGTTAGAGCAGCTGGGCACAAACCCCACTGTGACATCTGCTCACTCCACTTTAAGCGACTTCTCTTATCAACCAGGAAACTTGAGCCCGGTGTGGTCAAGTCCCTGTCCAGGGTCACAAAGCTCCATGGGATAAGGTAGGTTCAAAGCTGATGCAGGCTGAGTGCAGGCCCTTGCTTCGCTGAGTCTCAATGTTCTTGTCTTTGGAAAGTGGAGAAGACTTGGGCACATGGGGTACAGGTAGGGGTCAGGACGCACAGGTCAAGTCCTATACAGCGTCCCCCTTAGGCTGGGAGGGGAACCAGAGGTCAGTCTTCCATGCAGTGGGCTCTAAAATACCTATTTCCCCCTCCCTCTTAGTAACTTTCGTGGGAAAACAATGTCAGAAAGTTTATTCAACAGGATGTTAAGGGAGCTTTACCTTCAAAAACAAACATTCATTCTGTGACCACCCACAAGGTACCAGGTGCTGGGGCGGGGATGGGTTTTCCGGTGGTTTTCACTTTCCTCCTTATACCTTTAGGTTTTCTCTGAATTGGAAACACGTGCCAATTTAGAATCAGAAAAAAGCAATAGCATTTTTTTAATTAAAAAAAAAATTAAAGCAGACACACCGATCGCCCGCCTTCCCTGGGAAAAGTCTTTGTAAACGTGGCATTTGGGACTGCATGTGGGGTTGGGGCTGCAGGACCCTGAAATCAGAGCCTTTGCCAGTTTCCCAGGGTCTTCTTGTGGAGGTGCCAAGCCTCTCCAGCCCGCACTCCTAGCCAGGCCCCGGCCCCACCTCCTCACCCCCTGCACCCCGCACGCTTAAGCCACCCTACCCTGTTCAGCCCCAAGAGGGGTCCCTGGGAAACTCCCACCAGCATCAAGGGTTGTGCTTAAAGCCCCCAATTTCCAGCTCCTGGTGGGGCGGCCCTGAGCGGGGCCCACTTCATCCACTAGACTCTGCCCCTCGTGGCTCTTGGCACAAGCTTTGGGTGCTGTCGGCTCCTCTTCCATTCATCTTTCTAGACCTTCTCCTCTCTCCTCCACACTAAAGCAACAACTAGAATGATCCGCTAGTTCTGCTCTGGCCAACACCATAAGCGCTGGCCACATGTGGGTTTTGAAATTTAAATGCTAATTAATTCAATAAAATTTAAAAATCAGTTCCTTGGTCATACTACTCACATTTCATGTGCTGCACAGCCACAGTGGTTAGCAGTCAGGGTGTGCTGGACAGCTGGAGGCCTCCCCACCACAGCACAGAGTTCCCTAGGGCAGGGCTCTTCTGGTGCCAGCAAGGCACAGAGCAGCTTCTCAATGATCCGGGCACATGGGTAAAGGAGACTTCTGGAGCCCTCGGTGGCTTTTCAGGCTTTTATTGAGTTTTTTACATCCTTCGCAGTGCGGAATCCAGGTACACGGCAGGCAGGGGGCCGGGGGGGGGGGGGGCAGAGGGTCTTCGCTCTTTCTGGGCTCTCTGGCCTTCTCTTGCCGGCTCATCTCTGCTTCTCTGCTACTGCTGCTGCATCGACCACTGCTGATGTCCCCTTGATACCGCCCTTATACGCCCAGTCTCTCAGCCCAGCTGCACCCATTTACACATGTCCACACCCTACTCCAGATGTCCGCCATCGGGCACATGTACAAGAACACAGGTGTCTATCATTAATACTAATGGCGGGAGGGCGGAAAATCCTCTCTCTCTCTCTCTCTCTCTCTCTCTCTCTCTCTCTCTCTCTCACACACACACACACACACACACACACGCACGCACGCACACACAAAATTCTTTCTCTCTCTCTCTCCTCTCTCTCTCCCCACCTCCTGGTGCTCCCAGGTCAGGGGAAGCAGAGGCAGCAGGAGGTAGCAGGAATCAGGAAGCTTTGGAGGCAGCCAGAGCAGTGAGTGGGGTTGAGGATTGCAGATTCTAAGCTGTTTGTAGCTTTTTACCTCTCTTTCCTGTGCCCCAGGCAGGCCGGAGGAAACTGGACAGATAATGGGGTGATAAAGATGGAGGCTATCTTCAGGGCCGACAACACACATTTTGTATCCTCCCTTGTTTATAGATGAGAAATGAATGCACCCTCGAGGTTCCTGCCTACTTTGGAGATGATGCCTTGGGAGCCAAGGACCAAATTTATTTTTTATTTTTAAAAATTTTTTAAAGGATTTTTTATTTTAAATTTATTTATACAAGAACCAGGGTACAGGCCAGAAGCGCGGGAGGGTGAGAGAATTCGCCAGAGCCAGAGCGGGGAACAGAACAGGCAGAAGGACCGAAGTACACTGCTGAGGGGAGCAGCCAGTCGGGATTAAACCCGCACTGCAGAGGCTGCGGACAGCTTCACAGTGCAGCGCTCAACCGCCTGCGCCGCCAGGGGAGGCCCCAAGGACCAAATTTCAAGGGAACTTTGGAAAGTCTTTTAGCCAAGAAAAACCCTCCAAGGAAGTCTGTGGCAACCACCCATCCCCCCAGGCAAAGCTGCTTATCCCTGGGGCTCCTGAGTGAGAATTTCTGCAAAGATGATCCTAACTACCTGCAGGGTAAGTGAAAATTATCAGCATTTTCCACCCTCCTGCCATTAGCATTAATGACAGGCCCATGCAGTCCTTCCTACACATGTGCCTGATGGAAGACACCTGGAGTAGGGTGTGGGTATGCATAGGTGGGCACATCTAGGCTGAGAGACTGGGCTTATAAGGACGCCATCACAGGGACACCAGCAAAGTAGCAAAGGAAAAGCAGAGACCAAGAGAGAAGGCCAGAGAGCCCAGAAAGAGTGAAGACTCCCCGGGGGCCCGGGAGGCCTGCTACCCTCCTGGGCTCCCGGCCCCTACTTGCTGTGTACCTGGGTGCTGCACTACAAAAGGTGTAAAAAGCTCAATAAAATCCTGAGAAAGCCATTGAGGGCTCCAGGACTCTCTTTTCCATCTGCCTGGCTCATAGAGATCCTGCTCTGTGCCTTACTCCTGCTACACTCCCCAGTCGCTGCTGACAGGACCTCCTCTCTGCAGGGTGGAGGGAGTCGGGCTGGAGGAACACTTCCTGCCTGGATGTCAAACACAGGTCACCTCGGGAGCCTGGGCTCAGCTCTGCCTGCCCCTGGCTAGCGGTGACCTTGGTAAAAGGTAGAGGTTGCTCTCAGAGCCCTGTCCACATCTCCTTGCTCCTCCAAAAGCATAAAACCTCGGCACCCCTTGTCCCGAGGACCTTCTTCCTGGAGCAGCTGCAAGCTGTCCTCGATCAGACACACAGGAGTCAGTGGACAGACACTCCAGCTCCCCCCTCTGCGGGGTACCTCCATGCATGTGCTGTGCGCAGCAACCTGGTGGGATAGAAGGCCGGTTGCCCACATGGGGATGTTCAGTAACGCCTCTTTCATCGCTTGCGCCGCATTTCCCAGTCTCACTTCCCTGCTCCCCCAGTGGGGATTCCCGGGATCATCTCCTAAATCAACTCGATGCACTAGACTCTCTGGGGGAACCCAGACAATGCCAGTGACTGAACGTCTTATGCCTGGTTCCCCGAGTTAACAGGGACAAAGCACTCACAACAGGGCCTGGAAGTGTGTGTTTAATGAATGAGGGGGGAAGGAGATAAAGAGCCTTTGTGGATACAAAACCTCCTCCCCTCCCATTCCACATCCTCAGCAAACACAAATGCCAGGTGATAAGACAATCTTAGAAAAGCAAACAAGTGTTACTCAACTTGAGGTCCGGCCTATGCGCAGGCTGCAGCCCTCACAGTCACCGTGTCACCGGCTAGAGGGCCTGGCCCGGCTGGATCCTGGGAAAAAACCACTTCCTCTGGTCTCCTGTGGCTGCCAGTCACGGTGTCCGTGGGGGCACAAATCCCAAGGCAGCTGGGCAAGTTTATTACGGGGATCCCAAGTGTAACAAGAACCCAAGTCTTACATTTGAGGGGGAACCTGACAGCAAATTGTCACTGGTTGGAAGTCACTCTTTTTCGCATCCTCTTGACTCAGCACCCTCCACCGCCCAGATCCTGCCTCCAGTAGTGGTAGCCTCACAAAGCTCCATCCGAGTGAATGGGCCTCTCCGGGTGGATGACCTCGGCTTCCCACTGGCTTCCCAAAAGCCTCCTGAGTTGCTCCTGGTTGATGTGGCTGGTTCTTGGCTCAGCATCCAATCCAGTAACATGGCGCAGTGAACCCAGGACTGGTTACACACGGGCAACAGTGATTAGATAACAAGTCACGCCTTGGGCAGGCGTGACAGTGATGGCACACGGGAGAAGCTGTGATCGGATGAACAAGCCAAGGTGCCCAGGAACTTCCGGCTCTCCCAGCACCTGCTGTGGGCACAGCTGCCTAGCAACCTCCACTCACACGGGATGTGAGGAGTCCAGGCCAATGTGGGGAGTAGGGGTATCTGGTCTCTGCAGCCCCAGCGGGACTTTATACCAGGGTCCCCCAAGTCTTGGAAATCTGCCAGCCTGGCTGCCAATGCAGTGGATGCATTTCGCAGGCATGGGTGAGGCCTGGTGCTCACCTGCAGGCCTCAGCAACACGAAGGCACACACTTAGGAGGTGGTCATGCAGGCGGGCCTGGTGGAGAGCACTGCCACCATTTTGGGGGTCTGGCTGGAGCTCTGAGCATTGCCTGGGGCAGGCTGGCAGAGCAAGGAAGGCTTAGCCTCCTCTGAGACACCCAAGGGTGCCAGGGAGTCAGAAGAGAAGCTAGCCTCCAGGGGAACCCCACTTGGCAGGAAGTCTAGGGTCCTCAGGGGGCTCACTGGGGGTGAGGACCTGTCCCCACAGCAGCAGCCACAGCAGGGAGTGGCCACTACGTGGGTGTCACCCTGCTCGTCCTGGCTGTGACACTGCTTCAGGTGGCCGCACAGGTGACAGGTGAGGGCCGAGTAGATGATGCCGCTGCCCAGGTCATCCTGGAGGGGGTCTGTGGCCTGCTCCAGGGCACACAGGGGCTTCTGTCTGTCCTCCCCTTTGTCCACAGGCTCCAGCTGGGTGCACTCTGGGTAGCTGCCTGGGGGGAGTGAGTGCTGAGGACTATGAGGTGGCTCCATGTCCAGTCCAAAGGTGAGCAGAGGGCGAGAGACTGGGGCAGAGGCCTCAGGGCAGCCAGGAGCAAGGCTCTGGAGGGGCTTGTAGCTGCTGTCCCCACTGCTCCCCTCCTCCCCCGACGTCCCTGGGCAGGTGGCACTGCTGGCGAGCAGGCTGGAGAAGGCCTTATAGCCCGTCTCTCGGGTGGGGCCGCAGCCTGCCCCCTGACCATCCTGGGTGCCGCCCTGCTCCACTGCCCGCAGAAACTCCCGGTAGTCGCTGAGGGGGGCGGGGGCAGCGGCCATCCTGTGCTGGAGGACACTCTGGCGGAGGATCTGCTCCCAGGTTTCCGGCTCTGGATGGAGTGTGAGGAGTGGCTCCGAGGGCTGCTGGGCAGAGCGGGTGCCATGGCCCACTCCCCCACGGCACTCAGACGGCTGGGGGTCTGGGTTGGGCACACCAGGACCTGAGGGCGGGCTGGGGAAGGGGCTGAAGCTGCGGTAGGCGGGGTTGTCCGTGACGACGGTGGGCATCTCTGTGAAAGTCGGGCTGGCTGGGCGCTGGGGTCGAGCGGCCCACAGATCTGACTCAGGCCCCTCACTCTGGCAGGTCTCCTGGGGCCCCTCCCTGGGAACCCCCGTCCACAGCATCTGAGCACTCACAGTTCCTGAAGAGGGAGGAAGGCAGGACCCCTCCAGGCCCTGCGGGTGAAAGTCCCCATCCTCACCTCCCAGAAGATCTAGGAACAGGTTCTCTGTCAGCCGGGCTGCAATTCCCTCTCTGCCCTCCAGGAAGCTGCCCCCGCTGTTGTGGGACGATGGGCAGAAGCTCCTTTTGTCTCCCTCCACCTCCTCCTCCCTCTCCTCCGGCGCCTCCGACAGCTCCACACACCGCACCACGCTTATGCTCTCTGGCCAGAGAATGGTCTTGCTGACCTCCACAGGACGCAATGGTGATATACCAGGGCCCTGCAAAGGCCCATTTCTGGCAGCTTTGGGGGCGTCCTCACCCGTTCCCATGCCATGCTCCAGGAAACAGGGCAGGAGCTTGGTAAGACAACTTTTCCAGTGTCTGCAAAAGCAAGCAAAGTTCGGTCAAGGTTGGGTTTCTTGAAAAACCCCTATTCATCCTTCAGAGCCCAGCTTGAAATCACCCTGTACTGACGTCTGTTTATTGCAGATATGCTTCCTGACTTTCTAACCAATTCATCTTCACTACTAAATGGGGAACTTTCTGAAAGTAGGGCCCATGTTTTATTTTGGGGTTTCTGGAGCCAGTATACCTGGCATCTAATACAAACTTAATCTACTGCATAAAGAAGTCTCTGTCAGGGACAGTAAAAATACTTATCAACACCACAGCGTAAGTGAAGACTAGATAGAATAGCTGTGGGGTTGAGAGTCCCAGAGACCCCTGCTGTGCCAAAAATCTTTCATTACTGGATTGTGGGTAGGTCCAGGAAGCCCCAAAGGAGCAGTGAAGGAAGTCGGGGTAGTGATGGGATACTGGGGGATACTGTGGCTATTCACCAAATTGTTAACATTTATGCAATTACATGCAACATTTACGCCCGCATTTTAACTGGTTCAGCTGCCCTGGCTGTTACTCTATCAGCCTGGCTCAGGCCAGACTGGGCATTCCCAAGGCGCTTCAGCATGGTCCTGACCAACCAGTGAACCCCAGGCAGCTCAGCCAGCAGCTGATCTACCCAGACCACTCCTCCTCCTGCCACCTCTCCAAGCCCAGTGTCACAGGAAGAGAAGGCAGACATGGAGGTGCGGATATGACCCCTCTCCCAAGACGTAGTCTGCCACCCAGTTCCATCACCTCTACATCCATGTAGCCCATGACTTAAGCTTATATACATACGGGCACTTGATTGGTTCCTGGCCTCTGGATCGCTTCCCCCACAGTGATACCTAAAATAGAGACAGCTGATGAAACAGAGTGGCGGGGCCTGCCAGCCTGGCCTGGCATACAGCAATGGTCTAAGGGTTTGCTCCTTGTGTTAGCCTTTACACCACACAGGTCAGAGGTCTGCTCAGGCCACTTCAGCTCTCTGAACCTCATGTTCTGGGAATTAATGAGACTGTCCTTAAGTTACGTTGAATGGCCACAGTATTCTGAAATTCCTCCCACCCCTTGAATTGGGTCTGGCCAGGTGACTTGCTTTGACCAATAGAACTTGGTAGAAGTGACACTGTGCTAACTGGGCTGACTTGCTTGGGGGTGAAACCCATAGCTTGGTTAGTTCCACTGCCCCAGATGAGAATAAACCAGCTGCCAGGCCTGTGAGTGAGGCCACTAGAACCCGGCCAGCCCAGCCCAACTCAGGATCCTTCTACCCCCACCACTGAGTGGAGCTCGAACTGCCTGCCTGCAGGAGCGAATAAACGGCTACTGCTTTTAACTCGAAATTTCAAGGTGAGTTGTTACACAGCAAAGCTAACTGATACATAAACGGCAGTGACTGTGCAGGCACCTGTAATATACACTTGACTTATCTTGTCTCAGTGACTCCCAACATCGATCCTGTTAGGTAAATACCACTAGAACCCACAGGAGGGGCTGAGACTCTGAGAAGTTAAGCAACTTGCTCAAATCCACGGTACAGATAAGTGAGAGTGAGGCTTCAAAGCAGGCACCACTGGGCTCCAGAGTCAGAAGAGTGTGGAGAGCTGAGGACATCTGGACCTTCTGTTATAGACAAGACCGGCACCCCACCACCTCCTTCCCAGAGAACTCTGCTATGGCTCAGGCAAACCCCACAAGGCCATCACACTGGGGAAGGTGGCCCCCCTCCCAGTTCAGGACGGCCACCTGGCTGGTCCAAGGTTCCCCACTCCCTCATAGGTAAACAGTTTAGGAAGGAGGATATGATGCAATTCAGGCCAAAGAGAATGGAGGCGAGATGTGCTGGTGCTTCAGGGGCAATTTCCTGGTCTCAGGAGAAAGACAGAGGAAGTTAGTCCCATCCTGCCGCTCCTCTTGGTCTCCTGCCCTGAGACAGGTGCCTCACCAGGAGGTGACAGGAGACCTCACTGGTTATCTCCTCCCAAGGGAGGGAAAGAACGAAGAGGGGACCCCACCAGGGGATGAAAGAATGGCTAGGAAAGCCGCAGGGAGGGCTGGGAAAGCCTCCAGGGCCACATTAAGCTGCAATTCCAAAAGCCAAGGTGTTCCCCTCCCCTACCTGAGTATCCTGGATGACAATGGTCACCATGGGGCTGCGGGCTGGGTTGGGAATCTGGTCCCACCATTCTTTCTTAATCCTGAAAAGGAAAAGGAAAAGGTGTGGGTGTGGGAACCACTGACAGCTTCTCAGCTGCTGACTCAGAGCCTTGCGGTAGATGCGCCATCCGTATTTATTGTTGAACAAAAGGACCCCAAGATGTACTTTCCCAGCCACTCTGCTCCCCAGAGGGCCGGCTCAGCTGCATCCTGTGTTAAGCCCAGGACTCACTTGAGGATGCTGACGTAGCAGGACAGGCAGAGGACCACGATGATGATGCAGGAGATGCTGACGCCGAGCGGGAGGTGCTGCTCCATGGGCGGCTGAAAGTCTGCAAGTGTTGGGGGGGGGTGTGAGGCCGAGCCCTGCTTGCCACCGCCTGGGCCAGCCCCCCAGAGCTGGAGACCAGGACGCGCCCTCCCAGGGAGACCCTGCATGGGCCAGTCTCCTCTCCACACTGCCCTCCTCACTGTCCCCTGCCCCTACAAGCCTGGAGCCACTCTAGGACCTTGAATTTGTCATTGTTCTGGAGCACTCTGGAGTAGGACTACCTGCATCAAAGCCTCACCTTCTTGTTGGTGACACAGATAAGCCCCTCACCCTCTCTGGGCCTTGATTTCCTCATCTGTACAATGTTTGTTTTTTAAAGATTTATTTATTTATGCATACAAGAACTGGGGAGTAAGCCAGAAGTGTGGGGGGTGAGAGGCTCCACTAGAGAGAGTGGGGAGCAGAACAGGAAGATCGAGTACACTCCTGAGGGGAGCAGCGGGTGAGACAGGAGAGGTCTGCTGTGCCATGTGGGTCAGCTCCCTGGCTGGGGATCGAACTGGCTGCAGTGGCTGGCAATAGCTTGATAGCACTGTCTTTAAACCCTGCGCCATGCTCATCTGTACAATGTTAATAATCGTTACCTGTTCCACAGGGGCATTGTGAGGATGACCCGATTCTACAGGTGATGTTCTCAGAACCGTGCCCACTTGTGCACAAGCACTTGCTGTTACATATCTCCGTCACCAGCTCCCACAAGCACCCCCTCTGATGGGGCCTTTCCTATCACTCCGTCTCTCACCCACTTTATTTTCTTCCAGACTTACTACCACCTGGGTCTAGAGCTACCAGATTTACTTTTTGTTTACTTGTTTATTTTCTGTCTCCCCCTTAGGAAAGTCAATTCCAGAAGCACAGGGATTCTGTCCGTTTTCTCACCGCCGTCCCCCCAGCATCTAGCACAGGGCCGGGCATACAGTAGGAGCTCAGTGTATACTTGTGTTATTGATGCGCGAAGGTCCCCCACTCACAATTATGCCACCTGGTGCTGGGGCTCCAGTCGCTCCAGCTGCTCTTGTATTCCCGAGCCAAACACTTCACGCGGGCACTGTAGAAGGCCCCGGGCTTCAGGATGCTGGCTTGGAAGTACAGGGAGCACCCCTCGTACGTCACATCATAGAGTATGACCTGGGAGAGGAAAGGAGCGTGTCAGTGCACAGTCGGGGGGGGGGGGTGCCAGCTGGCTGTGTCCCGAGCTGACCCCATGGTGTTTAAAAGCCACTAGCGCAGTGTTTTGGGGATTCCTCCCAGCCAGGCCTTCATCTGTGACTTCCACAACCGCTAGCATTGAGGGAAGGAGGCCCAGCAATTGGCCTTCACCTGGCCCCCTGATTAGCCAGATAATGTTACAGGGGTACGGTGACAACTCTTTTGGAGATTTAGTTTCCTCACAATGAAGGTGAGAGTCCCCACTTCCCGGCTGTGTGAGGCTAGGAAGTAACATAATATCGCTGTCCTCATCTGCAAAATGGCGACGGTCAGCGTTTGTACCTCCCTGCGTCTCCGGGAAGATGAAATGGGTTAATACGGACTGGCACTCAGGGAGGACCGGGCGGGGCTGGGGGAAGACGTGCGACAAGACAAGGATCCTCCTGAGGCACAACTAGTATCCTCTGTCCCCCAGGGCTCCCAGTACTGCTGCCAAGACCAACCTTGCTGGCAGAGACTCTCAGGTCCCGCCAGCCTAGCCCCCACTGGGAAGGGATCCCAAGATGTGTGGTTAAGCGAGAAAGGTGAGATGCAGAGAGTAGGTGCTACCCACTGCCTTTCAAGTCTTAAGGGCCTCAAGGGAGAAGCACAGTGACATTGGCACAGACTGAGCTGGTTGGATGTCCCCACCCTGTGTAACCCCTCTTGAGTGGGGTGGGGCCTGTGGCTTGTGTCTACTATGGCAAAGATGACGGGTACACAGAGACGAGATGATGTAAGACTGTAATTCCAACTTTCTGGAAGACTCTCCCTTGCTGGCTTTGAGAAGGCCATACAGGAAAGCACTGAGTGGTGGTGGGTGGCCTCCTGCCCAAGGGCAGCAAGAACCCAAGGTGCCCAGCCCAACAGCCCACAGGAGCCCAGAAGCCATGATCCCTCAGTCAAACCTCAAGGGAGATGGCACCCCAGCAGCCTGTGACAACTTAAGCAGAGCCCCAGCTCAGCCATGCCCAGGCGCCTGACCCCAGAGAGTGGGATGATAAACTGTTCTAACACTATTGCATTTTTCTGGAATACAAGCTCCCTGGAAGGACACACGTGCCTCCAAGCCCTGCCTGCCCTCACCTGCCGCCCCTTCCCTCCAGGCGAGAGACAGGCGCCGCGGTCAGCCTCCGGGAAGAGGAACTGAGGTTGGGGTTGGGCGAGAAACGTTTCCATTCTAAGTCCTCCTGTACCATTTGAATTTTTTATGTAAACATTTACTTTTATTTTTAAAAAAACTTTTATTAAAAAATAAAAATGAAAATAAAATCTTTGTGCAAGATCAATTCTGAGAGTGAGTGAATGGCTCAACCCCCCCCACCAGGTGCCTGCTCTCTGAGGCGGTCCATCCCCGTGTCTCCCTCCTCAGGACCTGCAACCCTCCCAGCTCGGGCAGCTCCCCGCCCACTTGCAGGTTGGAAGCACATTTGGTGCAAAATGAGCAGAGGGGAGGCCTTGCACCAAGGAAAGCAAAGTCGCAGTAGGTTGCTGGAGAGACCCGAGGGCAGCTGGTGTATTTCCAGTGGATCTGAGGATGGAGCGGGGGTTACTGAAGGCCAGGGCAGGGAGACGAGGAGGCTCTCACCCCCCTCCTTGGTTTTTCTGGGTAAGCAAGAGCTGGAGCTAGAGTCCCAAAGGAATCCAATGTCTTATGCAGAGGAGGGAATTGGGAAATGCTTTACTAAAAACCAAAGAGAAATACAATTTCTGAGAAACTATTTGCAGTTAATTTGTTTTTTAACAAAGGCAAGGTGTCTTAAAATCTGTTCCTGGGAGAAAGATCCAGGGGAGGAGACACAGCACAGGCTTTGGAGTTCAAATCCTGGGTTCACACCTCAATTGTGGCATTTCTAGCTGTGGGACCCCAGCAGGGCTTTCCCATCCATTGGTGACAATACATGTCACATAAGGTACATAGTGGGCACACAAGAAATGGTGGTGGCCGTTATGTTGGTGGGCATGACCCTATGAATAGGCCTGTGATTCATTTCCTGCTTTTTTCACTCTTCATATTTCCAAATCCCCATAATCCTCAGCTTTGTCATGAATTTTCATACCTCCCAAGTCTTTGCTCATGTACCTCCGTCCGTCCTATCCCCGCCTCCCCTATCTAGAACACCCCATACATCCTTCAATGTCCAGGTTAAACATCCATTATAGAGCGTGGCTCAGAAAGAAGAGGGCAACGAGCAGTTGCACCCTTCAAATTCTACAGCAAGTCCCTAATCTCTTCTTAGAATTGCACCCCGCCCCTCACTGTGAGTCACAGCTGACATCTGCAGTACCGGAGCCAACACGGCTAGACACCTGCCCGGGATCTATGCCACTGGGTTCAGGTGCTAAAGCTGAGGGCAGGTAAGCCTCTCTCCAAGGCTAATAATCCTCACTTGGCCATCTCGTTCCCTAGGCCTCTGACTGGCAAGAGAGAAACATGTGACCAACTCTGACCAAGGACTAATGAGAGAATTCTTCAGGTCCAATTTTGTCCTGGTCAAGGGAGAGGCAAGGGAGGGGTGTCTCAGAGCCTCCACACCAGCAGCAAGATAGCTGGAGCTAGGAATCTGAGGCCCAGGGGCAGCCCTGAGCACCTCCACTGAGCCACATCCTGAGACGTGACCAATTCTGGGTTCCAGACCGGGGACAGAATGTGCTTCAGTGTTGTCAGTCTGTTCCCCTGTCCCAGGACCTCCCACTGGGAAATCCTTCTCCCTCGTTTTTTGGCCCATGTGCTTTGGGCAGAGCCAACCCCACCTAGAGAGATGGGGGGCGTGACTCACTTCTGGTCAATCAGAACATAGCCCAGAGCCTGTGACAGTTTCAGAGAATGCTGCATGATCCAAGCCAGGCAACTGACCATTGGCCTCAGGACTTTTATGGGGATTATCTGGAAAGAAAATTTTCCTCCATTATGGCTTGGGAATATAGGCCTGGAGCTGCTCGGTGGAGGAGGGAAGAGGCAGCCTAAAAATGAAGTCAACATAGAATAAAGCAGGGCCAAGAGATTCCTGGCACTGGATCCAGCCAGGCCTAGAAATAAGCAAATAACATTTCTTTGAATCCCTTCAGCTGTACCTGTTTCTCCCCTTCAGTCTATCCCCTGAACTGAAGCCTCACAGAGACCCAGAAGATGAGATTTACTGACAAAACCAAACCTGCCTCTTTCCTTGGCATCTATACACACCCTCCTCCCCCAGGTGCCCTCTGAGCTTCTACTGCGTTACCTTGGCTGGCTCATTCCTGCACCTACCCACTCCTGGCATGGTGCCAAGAGGGAAACCACAACTGAGAGAGATGGTCAACACCCATCACCTCCCCAGCTTGGCCAGGAAGGGGAAGCAGCCACACTGCCTGACTTGGGAGTGTCAAATGCCTGGGGCTGGCCCCCTGGCAGCCGAGGCCAGGTCAGCCCAGGCCCCAGATGCCCCGCATGGCTCACAGCAGGCTGTTGACAACTCTGACAGTTAGAGACCAGGCCATGGGAGGGAGGCACATGGGGCTTTCCAAGACCTGGGCACTCCAGAGAAATGGAGGCGTGTTTGTGACACTCTTTGTGCCAAGTGGGGGAGCCTGTCTTGGCTCCCACATTCTGGGCTTTCAACAGCCTGACAGGGTAGGTTCCCTCGTTATGCTTATGTTACAAGGAGGTTAAGCAACATGTTTGCAGGGCCACCAGGGCAAGTGCAGAGCAGGAACTGGGAAGGCAGCTCTGTGAATCGCTGAGGCCCACCGTGTTCAGACGCTGGCCCTCGAGGGAGAAGGTCTGAGGGGTGGGCAGGGGCGACAGGAAGTGACTACCACTTCTACCTGCAGTGCGCACTGGATGGGCCAAGCCGTCTCTGGTGGGCGGCCCTGGCTATTATTACTTGATAGCTTCCTGTGAATCAGTTCTCCCTTTTGAAAAACGTCAATGCAGTCATTTAAAAGGGAGCCCCGCTATCACTGCTGTGAATGGAAAGCGAGTGTCACATGTCACAGAAAAGTAAAGGCCACAAGAACTGAGCAACAGCACTAAACGACAGTTGCACCTGTTTTCTGGGGGAGGCGCTGGGACCCCGGCCTCCTCTCTCTGTTACAAAGGGGGCTTGGTAAACCCATCTGCTCAGCTGAGCTGTCTTTCTTGGCCAGGCAGGGTCGGGGAGAGAGCTGGTTTGCGGCTCTCCCTGTGGTCTTACCGTGGGGCTCTGTCTTAAGTGTGTCCCAGGTAGGACCTAAAATCTAGGAATTCCACCCCTGGAAAACACGGATGCAGCCCATAGTCCTCAGTCGCCAATGAGGAACAGTGACCCTAACTAAACTCCCCTCTCTGCCCAGGCGAGGGCTGGCTTGGTCCGTGGCCATCGTTTGCCGCTCCCTGGTCTGGGTGAGCGGTAGATGGCGGGGCGGGGCGGGGCGTGGGGACTGGCCATGCACACAGCCAGGCACAAGCGGGGGCCCTGGCCAGCCAGCCAGGGCATCCTCTCCACCTCTAGCTCTGGAGCGTGAGCCTCCACCCGCCCGATCCCAGGAGGTGGCAGAAGCCCGCAGCACGTCCACTCACATCTGTGGGGTCATTTTCATTTGAAATGTTGATCTGGTAGTTGAGCTGGGAATATAGGTAGTTCTCGTGAGGGTACGGGTCACTCCACGTCAGCAGCCACTCGGAGACGTTGGGACGAACAGTGAGGTTCCTGGGGGCCAGAGGTTTCACTGCGGAGATGAGCTGAATGAGGGTCTGGTTGGGGTCAGCGGGGAGGCCTGGCTTGCAGACCAGAGGTTGCCGAGACCACCTCCAGGGCATGTTGATTATCCGCAGACACAAAGTCACAGCAGAATTACAACGGTACACTGACTGTAACGCGGCCAAAATTCCACCTGTCACTTCAGTGGTTTCCAAATGCCTTTTTACAGTAACTGCAAAGGGTGTAAGCCAAAGTAACCCAAACTGTGGGTTTTTCCATTAGGCCTTTGCACTTTTGACCTCATCTGTGTCCCATACTATCACTTACTCAGTATTTATATTTTGATTCCTGTATTTTAAAACTTAGTTTCTTAAGCAATCATACCCATGAGCTCACAGGCATGTATAATAGGCATTAAAATCAGCAGGCACATGTAAGACTCATTTAATGCATGGGCTTATTCATGGCCAACTGACATAACCCCTGACCACCAACAGTATCAGTAGGTCCCTCAGGAACTGGCGATGGAGGGAAGCCTGGGCTCCAACAGACTCAGTCTGCAGCTGTGTGACCTTAGGCAGGTTACCTGCCTTCTCTGTGCTATAGCTATAGTCTGTTCAACCACAAAATGGGGATAATAATTCTCTCCTGGAAACTGGGGCTCAGAGAAGTAGCTACTTGCCCAAACCCACACAGCAATTGTGTTTTAAACTCCTGTTGCTTTACCCCATGCTTTACAGCTCATGATAAATGCCTGCAGAACTCTGGGTACCAGGACAAGGTCAGCCTTGAGAGTCATCCAACAGTCTGACCAGTTGACAGGATGGATGAACGGCTCTCAGTTCAGATTTTGATTTGCAGCAAGCATGCCTTCCCTCACCCATGTTTCATCTCACCCCCCGATTTGGACACAGAAATTCAGAGGGTTGGAATATCTGAGGGGGGCTGCTGTATTGCTGAGCCCAAGCCCATTTCCAGGATGGGAGAACTAAGTCCCAGCAAGGGGCAGGACTCCCATATGTCTGGGGAAAGACAGGAGGCTGCTGCCCCCTCAACCTATTGGAGCCTGCCTCCCCTGCCTCAGAGGCCCAGGGGCTGGCTGCGGTGATGCCTGCACCCCAGCCCACCCTGCCCCACTCACCATTTTCACTGGGTTTGAAGGAGCCATTCCACAGCAGCTGTCTCCCGGCCCACAGGCTCAGCTGATAGATGTCCTCCCTGGCGACGTCATCTATCGGCATATAGCACACGCACACTGTGCCCTCTTTGTTCTCAGGGACACACGTGAGGTTTCTGCAGACGTGGGTGGTAGTTAGAATGGTCACATTTAGGCTGGCTGTGACCCACAGGCATCTCCAGGACATGCCTCCAGGAACCACAGGAACTTCCAGCTTCCCAATGGTCCTGCCTCAAGGACCACCTCTGGGGACATGGGAGTGGAATGCCCAAGGTGTGGTGGGGATGGCTTTCCATGCAGCCACAGCCCCTCTCCACACTCACCATGGACTCAGACATCTGGGGCGAGGCCTTGGTCCTGGGCCTTGGCTCATTCCTTAAAGCCAGAGAAAAGGAAGAACCCAAGGTACTCGGGACCCTCTTAGAGCTCTCACATGTCCCAAGTACTGTTTATCCCAGTACAGAGTGTCTATTTCAAGCCTGGCACATTGCCTGTAACACATGCCTGGGGCACCACATTAAAATCTCAATGTGCCACCTAAACCAGCCAACCCCACGTCTCATGGGCTAAGTCAGGGGTCAGCAAGAATTTCCTATTAAAAGTCAGAGAGTAAATATTTTGGACTTGGAAGGTCATTTTCTGTCCCAACTACTCAATTCTGGTGTTGCAGCACAAAAGCAGCCACAGACAATACTAAAGGGTAAGCATGGCTGTGTGCCAATAAAACTTTATTTATAAAGTCAGGTGGTAGCAGTATTGGCCTGTGGCCATAGTCTGCAGCTCCCTGGTCCAGGCCAATGTCCAGAGCACAGAGCCCAGCCCATCAACCATAGCATAGCCTGGAAATCCACCTGTCAGTGTGCCCTATGTCTGGCATGCTGTGTGTCCCTGTCTGTCCTCGTCACCACCTGCTGTGTGTGCCCATCACATCCCAGGCACCTGTAACAGCACCTGCATACCAGGATTCTCCCAGGGAACCACCTAGAACAATGCCACCCACTTTCCATGATGCACCAACCATCACAGTGAACTCTCCACTCAAGACTAAGCCCCAAAAACCAAAGTGTGATCAAGCACCCCTTAGGCCACTCTTTGTAAAAATACCAAGACGTGACTGACATTTTCACTCTCTCACAAGTATATGGTAGACTTTTCCAGAAGCCATATTCCAGGTGATGATGTCACTGCTCTGATGGCATGTTGAATGTGGGTCTGCGTGTTGCTGTGATGTAGAATTTCTGTCTTAATTTCCAATAGGGTAAATATTGATCCACATAAACTACCTAGACAAAAACTTTTGGGGGGCTCACAATTTTTTTTTAATGAAGGTAATATTGGTTTCATTAATTTTAAGCAGGCAAATGGGCCCTGAAACCAAAAAGTGTGACAACCACTGGTCAACACAATAATCCACCCACCCGTGCATGCCACATGTCATGGTAACTGGTGACATACTCACCCTATCTTATACAGGTCTCTGGTGCCTCACCTCTAGGACCGAGCTGGACAGCTGCAGTCAGGGCACCATGGGACCAGGCCAACTCCCACGGCACACCGACTCCCCAAACTCCCAGCACAGACTTACTCAGAGTCTTCAGAATTGAGCAGGTAGGTCAGGCGGAGCTCAGCACTGCAGTTGGTAGGACCGTCCATCTTCCACTCACAAGTGGAGATGCTGATGTAGTCAGAGAAGCAGGTGGGCTCATGCAGGACCTTCACACTCCCTGGGGAGACATGGATCCTTGAGAACCCAGAGCTCGACCAGCATGGGGAGCACATGCCCTGGGCACAAGTCAAAAACCATCCCAAGCGAGACCAAGGCCCTAGGCCCATGTGTGCCAACCTTCACAGAACTGGGGCCAGGGCCTGGGCTCCTGGAGTTTGCCAGTTGGCATAGGAGTGACTTCTAAAGCTGAAGATGTACGCTTAGGTGTGGGATCCTTAACAGGGAATGGACCAAAGGCACTGCTAGCTTTTGCAAACCCAACTGCTTGGCCTTGGCCAAATTAAAGGAAAGATAAGGACAGTCTAAGGCTTCTGCCCTGCAGCAGTGTGAGCTGGGGAGGTGCTGCGTCCCATTTGCCCATTTCCTGTCCCCATGCAGGGCATGTCCCCCTGTATGCCCACTTCCCCTGCACATGCAGGAGGCTGCTCCACGGTCTTGTCTTGTCACCCTGGCTTCCGGTTGGGTTCCACCAGTATCAAAGGACAGGATGAGGTTGGGTTCCACCACTATTGAAGGACAGGATGAGGCAGTTAGCTGGTGGTAGGGCTGGAGCCTGAACCCAACAGGTTGTATGCTGGGTTTGCCACATTGTCCCAAAGCCTTTGCCCTCCAGGGGCAAGACAGCAGGCACCTTCTTGCTCCTGTGCTCAGCACAGGATCCACCATACCTGTATCCATTTGCATTTATTCATCAGGACTTCCATGCTAAGAGAAGCCTTATCTATCTCATAAATATCTCTAACTCGGGCCTCCCTGGTGGCGCAGGGAGTTAGGACGCAACCTATGAAGCTGTCCGGAAGCCTCTGCAGCACGAGTTCGATACCCAGCCAGCCAGGGAGAAACCCACATGGAGCAGCAGACCTCTCCTGTCTTGCCCGCTGCTCCCCTCAGCAGTGTACTTCAGTCAGTCTGCCTGTTCTGTTCCCCACTCTGTCTCTGGTGAATCCTTTCACCCTCCACACCTCTGGCCTGTACCCTGGCTCTTGTATGCATAAATAAATAGATCTTTAAAAAAATAATCTCTAGCTCACCCCATGTCCAAGATAAACTCCTGATCCCCCCTCCCCCCACCAAATGAATAAACAAAACACCAATAAATCCCCCTCTGCCTCTCAGAAGTGACAAGTGTGTCCTTCCCAGTCGCTCAGGTCAGAATCTGAGTCATCCTTGGTACCTCTCTCCTCCACTTCAATCAGATGGGTCCACAGCCAACTCCCTCTCATGTCCTCCTTGGTCCAAGGGAGCAGCGCCTCCTCCCTGGCCTCCCAGCTTCCACCTCCCAGAGGGGTCCTTTTTACTGTGACAGGGCATGTCACTTCTCTGCTCAAACTCTGCAAGGTCCTTTTTGGCTCCATGGTCCCGTTTCTCCTCCCCCCCGCCCCTGCTCCTCCTCCTGGCCACCACACTGGCCTCTCTCAGTCCCTCCAACGTTTCAGACAACCCTCTCCTTCCCCCCAGAAATTTGCATGACTCCCCGCTCCTTCAAGTCTTTGCTCAACTGTCACACACTGAGGGGTTTCTCTAAGCTCATATTTTAATTGGAATTCTACTTCTCCCCCAGCGTCCCCAATCTTCCCTACTCTGTGCAATATTGACTTTTTCTTTTTTTTGCCAAAAATGTTTTCCATCAGTGAAGATTTCCAAAATCTTCAGAATTCGCTTCTACTTCAGACCACTTGTCACTGACGAGTCCCCGCTCTCCCCGCTTACAATATATCCTCAAGTCCAGGGATCTTTGGTTTGTTCACAGATCAGCCCGGGGGTCTGGCACATAAAGGCAATGAACTTGTGCTGGATGAATGGATGAACAAATGAATGGCTGGGAGGTGGTGACTTACCAGCGCCTGCTGCCCACACCAGCATCAGGCAACTCACAGAGAAGGTGATTCTGGAGCAAAGCCACCCCATTTGGGAGATCCTAGGGTGCCTGCTGAGAGAAAGGCAACTGGTTAGCACTGACTGGGGGCTTCTACCATCCCCCACTCCAGGTACAACAGTCCCTCCTCCCACACCATTTGAGTCTCTGCCAGTAATGAGCCCTCCACATTCACCAGAGCTGTTTATATCACAAAACAGAACCCACTGGACACAGCCCAGCCTGGGAGCCACACATTTACGCCAAGGATGGATCTTGAAAAAAAAAGCCCATGCCTGATAAGCATGAGCAAATCTTAGGATTTCTGGAAGTTCACAATACTCATGTGTGTAAAGATTCTACTAAGTCTTGCAATAAAGAAGGTAATTTCTTTTCCTTCTTTTAAGCTGAGTCTTACCGAATTTATTTCCATACCCAGCTTTTATTCTGTGTGCATGTGCCAAAACCCCCAAACTGAAAGGATTTACTTCCTTGAAATGTACTTTGGGGATGGTGATCTAACTGGTCAGCCTTGCAAAGTGGACCTAGAGTCACCATGGTACTCGCAGCCACTATAAAGATGCTGTTCAAAGTGTTAGATTTTCTACATTATTGTCTAGTTCCCCTCCTCCTGTTTCATGTAATCCCGCAGAGCCTCCTCCCCTCCCACATACACCACCACCTGCGCTCTATGCTTCCTCACCCTTGGACTCTGGGATCAACCTGTGACTAGCTTTGGCCAGAATATTAGCACAAGTCACACATGCTGAGGATGGCTTTTGCACACCTGAGCTGGCCTGTTGGAGGACGGTGACATGCAAAGGACCCGGCTGTGCCATTCTGTGTGAGACATCATGTGTGTGAGCAGCTGACGTCAGATGGGTGAGCGAGCAGCTGACATGAGATGGGTGAGCAAGCCCAGCAAGATAAGCCAAGCCCAGGTAAGCTGGCTCCCTAAACTTGAGTTCAATAATTGTCTCTTGCTGTATGCCCCTTAATTTTGTGAATGTTCCTTACACCACATTATTACTGTTCCTCTTGGTTTTAACCCCATCACCCCAACCTATAGCCCTGTAGATTACTTTTGCTACTTTGTAGTTTATGTGAATTGGTTGGTAACCACCCTGATTGTTAGTGATATCCCCAAAAGCATGGCTGGGGACTAAAACAGAGAAGGTACAAACACCCAAAATTGATAACTATAATTGGGGCTAAATGGTTAAATTGCTTTCAAATCTTAGCATACATATAAAAAACCCCCACGTATCTAAACTTTTCTAGGAGACACAAATACGGGGTGGGGGAGGGTCACCTGGGCCCACCAACGGAAATTCAAAACTCCAATTATCTGAAGAAAAAAGCCTCTTCATATGTCTTCATGTGTGAACTAGTCAATGAACTTTTAGCCAAGCCCACATTTCTTGACCTAATCCACTCTTTTTTTTTTTTTTAAAGATTTATTTATTTATTTATACAAGCACTGGCTACAGTCAGAAGCGTGGGAGGGTGAGAGAATTCACCAGAGCCAGAGCGGGGAGCAGAGCAGGCAGAAGGACCGAAGTACACTGCTGAGGGGAGCAGCGGGCGGCAGGAGAGGTCTGCGCACCATGTGGGACCCTCGCCTGGTAGCTGGGGATCAAACCGGCGCTGCAGAGGCTGCGGGCAGCTTTGCAGCCCAGCGCTCAACCGCTGCGCCACCAGGGGAGGCCCCTAACCCACTCTTTATCCAATAAAAGCTAACTTCTTTGTTCTCAATCCTGGTCCCCAAAACCTACATAACTTCATTCACTTTCTTAACTTGGGAGGTAGATTTGAGTTTATCTCCTACCTCATTGCCCATCAATTTGCCATAAAGCTTTTATTCCCCCCTCAAAATCTGATGTCATAGTATCAGTTTCTGTGCACACTGTATAGTAAACCCATTGCTCAGAAACAACATCTATTTTTCCAGATTTGATTCTTTAAAGATAGAGATAAATATGAACTTGATTCATGATAATAGCAGCATCCTCTAAATGCAAAAACTTAAAATTTAAACCTTACATTAGTAATATTCCGTAGCACTAAATTTAGATCCAAAGCATCAGACTAGGAGCACTGCACTGTGGGTTCACGACTGTTAGCCTTTATTATTTTTATTACTTCTCCACTGTAAACAGCATGGTGTATATGCTCTTCCATGGAATCTGCCACCATAGTTTTGTGATTATTTCCTTAACTTTAAACACCTGTTTTGTCAATTACTCATGATCCCTGAGCAAGCGGCTTAGCCATTCTGCACCTGTTCCCTAGTCTGTACAGTGAAGCTAATATCACGTTCCATCTCCCTGGGGCAATGCGAGGACTAAATGAGCTCACACACAGTCCACAAAGAGTGACCTGAACACACCAGTGACTCGGCTTCTGTCACCACTTAGAATCATGAAAAAAAACGCTCAGAAGCAGTGTCCTATAGGGCCAAGGAGGGAGCACGCCCCCTGGCCCCTAGAGTCCCTGGCAGATAATGCAGGGGCCTTTTCCCTGACAAAGCTGAGAGCACCCATCTGTCCCGAACCCCAGTCCTGCTTGCATCTCTATCTTACATATTCAGAAAAGCATCCTCTAGGCCTCATTCTGCCTAGCAGTTATTGCTGTTAAGTCACTCTGTCTTTCAGAGCCTTGGCTTCTTTCTCAGCCACTTGGAAGTGACACCAAGTTCAACCTCAGAGGTTGTGTTACAAAGAGGAAGTGAGGTGTTTACCTAAAGCACTCTGCACAGGGTCTGGGCACAGGATGGGGTGAGTATCATGGCAGAGTCCCCAAGCGCCTGCTGGAACCTCTCCAATGGCTAAGTCCTACAGGAAGGCCCTCCCCAGCTGGCCAGCCTCCCAATCTACCCTCGCCTCCACACCTGTGCTCGATGTTTAACCACCACCTGCACCTCTTCACTTTCTGCTGCTCTTCAAACATACCTCCTTACCTTTCCTCCCACTGTCCTTTTCATTCATATTCTCTCTCAACCTTTCTGTGATTTATTCCTTATGAATAAGTGAATAAATTATCCCTTAACATTACAGTGTATGATTCAGAAAAACAAGGACATTTTCCCACATAAGCACAATACCAGTATCAAATCAGGAGAGCGACACTGATGCACTACTGCCATCTACTCCACAAACTTCATTTCCATCTTGCTAATTGCCTCAATAATATCCCTTATAAGAAGACCAGGACCCAGCCCTGTATCTGATTACCATGTGTCATTCCAGGCCTGGGTCTGTTCTGCAGACAGGGCCCAGGGCTCTGTGGAGAAACTGCTGACTCCAGCATCAGGGGGAGCACAACACAAGCCCATGATTGTTGTGCTGGAAAGGAGATGCTCTAAAATGAGGGGGGCACATCGAAAAGATGCAAGGGCCCAAAAGGGCCAAGAGGCACATCACAATCGTCACCTCGCATGTAAAGTCGGAGCACATGAGTCTTTAGTGACACAGATCCCTAAGTGGAGGGAAAAGGGGTGCTGTAATTCATAGGGGCAGCCTTGAAATATCTCCACACAGAACCTATGTTAATTACCAGTGAGTCAAAATACTTATTCCCTTTATGTTACAGACTTGGCAGGCATTAGCTTGACCAAGTGGTCCAAGTTAACACTGCCAGAGACGGCACAAACCAAGGTCAAGGGCTTTCGGAAATAGGCTCTGACAAGAACACATAGTGACCTCTCCAGTGCTCCTGCTCAAAATGCCCAGATCACGTGCGGTGTCAGACACATCTACATGGAAGGGCAGTCCCAGAGGATCTGGCCTGTCCTATTTGAAAAGTGCCAGGCATGCAGCCACGGGAAGCAGCCTTCCTTTTTCAACAGTCTGTCCGGGAGCCAGGACGCATCTTGCTGAGCTCCTACACCCACAGTGGTGGCTGGCACAGAGCACGTGCTCAGCAAAGAAGTCCACCTGGACATGAGATGGGGCCTTAATGGGCTTAGCACAGACCGGAAAGTCTCCCTTGGGGGAGACTGGGTATCTGCTCGAAGCCCCAACCCTCACCCTTGCAGAGAGTTGCCGTGAAAGTCAGGAGGATGGAAGTGGGGTGGTGGATCCATGAAACCATTTCCTCTTCAGAGTCCCGGTGACCTTCCACTCACAAGCTGACAGAGGCCCATGGCATCCTGTGGCAGAGACAGCAAGGTGCCCTTTCTGCTCCAAATTTGAATAGAGAGGCCTACATGCATGTCCAAAGTCATACAGCAGAGGGCAATCGTGGTGTCCTCTAACTGAGCGAGGGGAGTCCAGCAACACCATCAGAGTAGGCAGGCAACTAGCTTTGAGGTGCCTTAGAGGGCACATCCAGATGTGCACATGTGGATACACACACACCCTCCAGCTGACTTCCCAGGGCCATGTCAATGCTGCATTTCAGGAGAAACCATCACACAAATGCAGTTAGAGGAAAAGACTCCCTGAACATCACAGGTAACAGAGGACAAAGGTTCAGCTAAATTAAGAAGAATGATTCTTAAGTAATCAGGGTCAGGGATGTGGCAAAAGGAAAAATTTCAAGTTATGAGTGGTCTCGAGGTCACCTGCTTAGCTCCGCTGCCAGCCCAGACAGGGAGGTTCTGCAAGTTTCCCTTCTCTGACATGCTGTGTCCAGTTTTTGTTTGCATCCCTCCATGGGTGGGGCGCTCACTCCCGGGTTATAGCCGAGCAAAGTCTATTGAGAACAGCTTCCTTAAGATGTCAAGTCAAGGATTTATGTCAACAAAGTCCTGCTTGTCTGATCCTCTGTTTGGTAAAGACAAACTTTGGGATTCACCCTTGAAAGCAGACAGGAGATCTGAGACACAAGGAGAAGGGGGGGGGGGAGGAGGAGAGCAGAGTCGAGGGTGGGGGGGGTCAAGGGGCCCTTTGGTGGGGGGAAAACTATAGTGACTGCACCTGAGGGCTGAGGGGAGAAATCCTTTATTATGATAACAATTGTTTGGTTTTTTTAAAATTTTTTTTTAATAGAGGCATGTTTTATTTATTTATTTGTTTGTTTGTTTGTTTGTTTTGTTTATACATGCACTGGGCACAGCCAGAAGCGCGGGAGGGTGAGAGAATTCACCAGAGCCAGAGCGGGGAGCAGAGCAGGCAGAAGGACCGAAGTACACTGCTGAGGGGAGCAGCGGGCGGCAGGAGAGGTCTGCGTGCCATGTGGGACCCTCCTCCGGTGGCCGGGGAGCAGCCGGGGATAGCGGGCGGCAGGAGAGGTCTGCGCACCATGTGGGACCCTCCTCTGGTGGCCGGGGAGCAGCCGGGGATCGAACCGGTGCCGCAGAGGCCACGGGCAGCTTCGCAACCCAGCGCT